GTACAACTCTTTTGGTAAGATTGAACTATCGAATTGCATGATATGTGGATGAAGTTCCAATAAAACTGGAGCTAACAGATAACTCTATTAGATTCTACCACATTCAAAGCCTGTGGATTCAAACAATGAATTGATCAATAACTGTATAAGGTAGCATTATCATTCTTAATTTTCAGGGGAAAAAAATCACAGAGAAATCAAGTAATTTGCCCAAGGATAGAACAAATAAACTCATCATTTTATTTCCCCTATTTATTAAAATACTCTGATCTTCCTGTTTCATTTCTGTCCAATTCCTAATACTTCATTCTCCATATAGCTGACAGAGATATTATTTTAAAAGATAAATCAAATTACGTCCCTATGCTTACTACCCTTCCATGACTGAATAACATTTCAGATGAAATGCAAATTTTAATCCTAATTTACGAAATTCTATAACCCAGCACCCTCTGCTTTCTTTGGCATCTCCCCCAAACTTTATTCACTTTCATGTTTGAGCCATAGCTCATCTTTCTAGTCTTTAAACATGGTTAGCAAATTAGAGTGCTGAAGCCTAAACTTTGTTATCTAAGTACTTAAACTTAACCTTCTGTTGGTGTACACGGTGGGCTGCTAGCCACCAGGTAAGCAGTTCAAACCCCCAGGCCCCACTGGAGAGAAAGATGACGCTTTCTACTCCCATAAAGAGTTACAGTTTCAGAAATGAGGCTATTCTACTCTATCTTATAGGACAGCAGTTCTCAACCTGGGGGATCGCAACCTTTTTTTTTGGGGGGGGGGGGATGTCCAACGACCCTTTCACAGGGGTCGCCTGATTCATAACATTAGCAAAATTAGTTGTGAAGTAGCAACAAAAATAATTTTATGGTTGGGGCTCACCACAACATGAGGAATTGTATTAAAGGGTTGTGGCATTAGGAAGGTTGAGAACCAGTTATATAGATAGGGTCACTAGGAGTCAGAATCTACTGGATGGTAGTGAGTTTAGCCATGTCTACAATTACAATTGTATGTGCCTTACAGTACTACTACTACTACAGTAGTAGTATCCTACTACTCTGACGATCATGTGTCTAGTTATTAGGAATATGTGTCTGGTTATCTAGAAATTAGTTTTATTACATGGATCTATGTCAGAAATTTGAGAAAACAAAACAAAACAAAAAACAACATAAAAGAAGAAAAGTTGTTCTTTGACTCCTGACTAAGCTCTTGCTCTTTTACTCTTCTCTTCTTCGGGTGAGCTCTTGCGTATCGGGTGAGCTCATGCAGGTCGGGGATACACGCCACCCAGGCCTTAGGCCCAAGCTTTTCCTCAGGCCTCTCTCGGGATTTCCTGTGAATACCTGAAACTTCCCTTTTCCTCATAAAATTCACTTGGATTAGAAATGTTCTTTCAGCATTAAGAAGAACCAAGTTATACCCCTCCAGAAACCTGACATATTTGGTTCCCTGACTCGGGTACACATCTCGACTCTACCTCTGAGGTAAGCAGGCTAGGGATAAAACCTATGTCCCCGGAGCCAGGAGCAAATCTCTTTCAGTGCACTTTCGTTTCAGCCTTCACCTTTAATCCCTAAGTAGAAGCTGAGGAGCTCTGGGAGTGGAGACTTTCTAAGTGCCAAATTTAAAGGGCAAGGCTTACAGTTTGAAATCAACTTTCGTGGGAGGGAGATGGAGCTTCTGCCCCCATATATGGCTATGGACTTGAAGGTGGCCCAGCTCACCTGGGTCCACATGTAAATATCAGTAACCACGTGCTCTGACAAGACTGCTGGAGTCCTTTTCCCCTCCCCCATGTGTTTGCCTTCCTACTCTCCTACGTGATTCCTGCCTCCATGTTTCGCCATGTGTACCTCCTAAAGCCTCCTTTCCTGTGATGCTATTGGTAGACTGTTGCCTGTGTTGCCTGCAGGCCCAGCACTCTGTTCTGAAGTGCACCCTTCCACCTCTCACTCTGTTGCTGCCTTCCTTGTAACCTCCAAACTGCTGTTTGCCTGTACTATTTAAATCAGTTGGTCTTTCTGCAGGAGACCCATTCCTTCCCATGAATTCTCTTCTCTCCCCTAATTCCCCCATTTTGCAGGATAGCTTAATGTGTGACCTTCTGCTGACTCCCTGCCAAGATGGTGTCTCAAGATGGCGCCTCTTGCCCCACCCACTGGCCCAACCACATTTTCTCTGGGGGAGGGACTTATTGGCTAGCCAATCTTTTCTGGTTTCCCATGGATCCCTCCAGGTTTATCTTCCCATCCCTTTCCAAAGCATTACACATAATCTTCCTCCAGTTTACAGATAAGCTAGATGGAAGGGAATGCCTTGTTTTTGTGAGTACAGCTCTGTTTTGGTTTTGGTGTTTGGTTTTTGTTTCCTGTATGTTTATTTTTCCTTTTGCCAAGCTTGGGCCAAAAGGTACTTGAAAGTAAGGTCACTAAACAATTGCTAATTCGGTCATTTCTAAGGCTACTCAAGAGGCATTTTAAGCACAGTTGCACCCCCTTGCTTATACACAGCTAAGGATTCCAATTTCCCTGGTGTTCGTTGCATTCAGACAGGGCCCCCTCCCCTACAAAGGTTCTTGTGAGACCACTCATAGCCCGTGTTCTCCTTTGAAGGTCTTGGTTAATAAGACTACCATTAGCTGGTGGCCCCCTTCGAAGGCACTGATGAGTCCTTTCGAAGGCACTGATGGGTCACACCAGCCAGTGATTTCTTTCAGGTCCCCCCTATATATGGTGATCCCCTTCAAAGTTCCTTAAGATGCCACTCATAGCCGGTGGTACCCTAATGCCTGGCTTTTTTATTGCATCCTGTTCATTGGATTGACCTGCAGACACTAACAAAGTACAAACTAGAATCCATCTTCAACTCCATCTGGCCTCAGTGCATTTTAGGTGATGGGAATCCTGGCCAAAGCATGCACACTCTCCCTAGCTACTCTATGACAGCAATATGCCATTAAGAGCAGCCCATTGCCAAGAGGCCCAACGGGTTATCCAGGCCCAAGGGGAGGAAAAATTACCATGTGCCTTCCTGGAGACCTAGTTCTTATAAAAACTTGAAAGGACAGGTTCCCCAATTCCCAGCTGCCATTAAAGTTCTAGGACAACATGGGTGGATCCATCATTCATGGGTAAAACTGTGGAAGCCAATGGAACCAATTCCCTCAAATGCAGATCAAATGGAGCCAGATAAGTACATCTGTGAACCATTAGACAGCTTAAAGATGGTGTTTCGTCGACACCCACAACAGATGAGTGCTCTAAAGAACACCTTATCTCAAACCTCCAAGTCTTTAAGCTAGCAAATGCTATGGCACAATTCCTGTGTTTGAAGTATGTTTGCAAGCTATGCCTGTCAATCCAGTGTTAACCATACCTCCTGAGATTTCCTTTGGAATCTTCCAGTGTGAAATTAACCCACACTCTCATGCGCATTGCATATAGCCTTACCTAAACTGTTCACCTGTTTTGCTTCTTCCAGAAGTCATCAGATTACTCATGACACTGATCCAAGTTTGCCATCCCCAGGATCAATAATGTCTGGATCATATCAACTTCATCCACCATGGGCCCTGAAGTGGATAACAACCCCTCTCAAAGAGCAGGAAAGCTGTGGACCCAAGGCCCCATTTGACAGCAGGAAGTAGCGAGAGACTGTCGTCATCCAGTATCCCCAAAGATTTGGGTCCATACTCCAGTGGGGAATGTTAGGTAGCCAGAATAGGGACTAAGGGGCATTGTCTCCCCAAATGCCTGCATAAGGTCACCACAACGGGGCTCCAGAGAAAGATCCAAATTGAGCATGCTCACACACAAGTCTCCAAGGCCCAGGTAGGAGAGCCACCTGAGTGCACAGACTAGACCCAGACACATGACATCACCCAGGTGCAATTAAACTCCGTCAATGAGGTCGGCCAATACCTTCAACCATGCCTCCCCAGATGGAGGAGATAAAAGCCTGTCACAGGAAAGCCAAGCCACTTTAATTCCTCTTTTACTCTTCTCTTGTTCAAGTGTGCTCTTACAGGTTAGAGAGCAGGGGCACACATGCCCTGCCTGGGGCTAGGACCTGAGCTCCCTCACAGGGCACTCTTTTGGGATTTCCTGCTCTTGGCCCCTGGGATTTCCTGTGAATACCTGAAATTTCCCTTTTCCTCAAAAAAGTCACTTGGATTAAAAAAAAAATTTAAGATGTAGAAAAGTTTAGAATCAACGACCTAACAGCTCCTTTCTAGTAGTTTTGAGGCACTGATATACAGTAGAAAGTAATCCTTAGAATTCCAGTTTCAGGAACTCTAATCCTCAATATTAGAAAATGAAAAGACAACTTGATGGAAAATAAATGAGTTAAAAATCTTTTCACATTTTAATTTTTCTTCTGAAGAGAGGAAGCTATTTACACTAGATTTCCACATAAAAGTGAAATGTTTGCTTACAAATTTTGCACAATATTTAGCTATTCTTTTGCACTGTTTTGATTTAAATAATAAAATGAGTAAAATAACCTTTGATACTTTAAAAAGAAGCAATTTTTTGTATCAGAAAGTAAAAATGAATTCACTGGAAACAATGTCTAACAAATGATGGAGAAACAACGTAGTCTACACAGATCATGGAATATTATGTAGTTAGAAAGTAAAATAAAGTCTTATGAATAGCACCACCTGAATGAACCTTGAAAACCTAGTGAGTGAAACGAGTCAATTACAACAGTTGAACCCTAAAAATGTTCAACTATAGGAAATAAGAAAATATATAGAAATCAAAGATCATCAAGAGTTACCAAAGGTAGCAGGGGGAGAGAAGGGAGTTTTTGTTTCGGAGCATTGAATATGTTACTGATGGTGAAATATCTTGTAAAAAGATAACAATAATGGTGGTACAACACAGAAAATTCATTTAATTATAAATGTGGAAACCATGCAGCAAGTGTTTTGGACAGTATATTTTCACCAAAAAGTAAAATGAACTCATACAGTGCAACAGGAAACATACCATTCCATAGGCCTGTTGTTGGACCCAGTTGATATAATCATTTCTTATGTCTATAAATTCTTGTACTTCATGTATATAAAATTTATCATATTGTATAATCTGTCCTGTTTTCTCATTTACCTACAAGAAAGTAAAAGTATTATGAACATTAAATTTAACCAAAACTTGAGATTTTTAAAAAAATGTACACATAGAAAAAAAGCTGTGGAGCAAGATCTTAGCTAATTTTCTCATATAAAAATAACTTACTGAGTGCCTGCTATATGTATAGTAACTGTTAGGGGGAACACAAAGATTTATAAGATGTGATATCTGCATTTAGGGCCTCATATGAGAGTAGAAAAAAAGGCATTTATGCAACCACAGCATAGTATGTATGTTACATACAAACTACAAACTTTAAGAAATGCAAAAGAGGAACTTTCTAGTTGGGGATGTGACCTAAATAACAATAATATTAATACAGTAATTATTGGTAAATGTTACTCCATGCTAGCATAGGATATGAGGTAACTTAGAATAAACGCTAAGAGGTGACTTCTGGATAAGGTATAATCAATGAAGTATCATCACAGAGATTAACTTCTCATTATAATTATGTTCCTTCTGCTATAATACAATAGGAAGTACACGACCATCTATAGGACCATCTATAAAGCAAAAAATTGTTAACCCGAATCTAACTAAATCACTTGATAGCAATGTATAAGAAATACAAAGGATAGATAAATTCAATATTGCCAAAAGGAAACAATTAAGACAAATTTGGATTGTGGAACTGTTAGAAGAAAACAGTCAGGATTCTCCAAAAAGTCAAGATAATTGGAATGGATAAAAAGGTGGGGAGGAATTAATACATTTTTTTAGTAAGAAATTCTGGTGCTGCATTATACAGATCTTCCTGCCATGATAACAATTATACACGCTGAACAATATATATTTTAAAAACAACTATTTAAAGACACTGGTAACCAGTAACAGTTAAATGGACCCCAATTCATAAAGACCCTATTTACGTCAGAGTTAACATTGGTCCATGTGGTTTTCAATGGATAATTTTTCAGAAGTAAACTGTCAAAGAGTTTTCATCCAAGATGCTTATGGATAGAATCAAATTTCCAACCTTCTGATTATAAACCAAGTACATTAACTGTTTATATCACCCAGAGATCTCAAAGATAACTATGGCAAACCAAAAACCTCAGTTTAATTCTTGCTTAGATTGAATTATGTCCAAAATAACAGCCAGGCATGTTTTGAGTCCAAGAAAATGTATATCTATTTCCGATTCTAGGCCTTCAAGTCTCTATTATAAAAACAACCAAGTGATGAGACACATATAAAAACAGCAAAAAATACAACAAACAGTGTTGGAACAAAAAGCAGTCAAGAGATTAATACTCAAGTGATAACTCAGAGACTGGAGTTAGAAGAAAGGCATGCATAAAAAATATTTTAAACTGAATGAAAATAAAAATAAAAATCCAACAAAATCTTATGGAATGCTACTATTTTCTTAAGGCTCAAAAAGATCTAACGTCAATGATCCAAGCTTTCCACTTAAGAATCTACTAAAAGAAGAGAAAATTAAGACAAATAAAGCAACAGCAAGAAAAAAAACGACAAAGTAGAAATCAATACTAAAGGGGAGAGAAAAATAACAGTATCTTTACAAAAAGATGAACAAAAATGATAAACCACGAGCCAGACTGAAAATCTAAAAGAACAGCAAACACAAATTAACAGTATAAAAATAGAGGAAACATAACTATTTAAACAAATAGTGTGTGGACAGAGTCACAAGAACGAATTGAAAGACCCCTTTCAAAGCTGAAAACTGGCCAGGCCAACCGGAGCCAAGACGGAGGAGTAACCAGGCTCAGGGAGTGAAACCTCACATTCCGGTACAGAGAGCACCACAAGAAGCTGACAAACTGTTCTCAGGATGACTTGAACACCTGCTGCCTCTGACGGTTTCCCCACCCCCAGGCATCTTCTTTTAAAAACCCTACGTCCTGGCTACCGGGCGCGACTTCCCTGGGCTACTTGCTAGCCCATGGAACCTTATGCGGGAGCCTCCCTCTAATAAAGCTATTCCTGTTTCTGCTCTCCCTTTGTCCTGTCAGTTATGTTTGTCCGCCTCCTTGTGTCTCAGTGTACCTTACAAATAGAAAATCTGAAATATGCTAAATCTATTTTTAAAATGAACTGAAATTAAAATCCGGTATCCAGAAGTCCTAAAACATTAGTCCCAAATGGTTTCATTGGTAAAGTCTATTAAATACTCCAGAGAAAAAGAATACTAATTTTATAATTCACTTTCAGAAAACAAAGAGATTACTCAATTTATTTTATTAAGTAAAAATAAATGTGATATGGTTCTTCTAACCAGTTTTGTTATGCTCATCAAAACGTCCCTGTCTTTTTGATAGATATGGATTATACGATTCAGTTGTAAACAGGGTTAATTCTGATTGCCATCAGGTTTCATATTAAAGTCACCTCCGCAGTATGCAGAAATATCTCATTACCATTGAGATAAGAGCCAGAAGTGTATCCTCTGGGCCCTGAAAACCCTGTGCATTGAACTTCCTTGATCCAGGAGACAGCTTTAAGATTAGAGGAGTGGCAGGGAAGCAGCAGCAGCAGAACCAAGAAACGGAGTAGGAGACGGAGTAAAACAGTGCTTTGGGGCAAAAAGCTAATGGCATGTCCTTGGAGCAACGATTGTCAGCCCTAAAAGATCTTTAGAACAGTGCCTGAGCAAGACACAGACCAAGAGGCTGTGTGGCCTACCTGTGGACACATCAGAGGAGACTGCCCTGACTGAACAACTGTACTCAAGCATTTATCACATAAATTGCAACCTGTCCATTACCCTAATAAACCCCTTAATCTCGAGTATTGCCTATAAATTTAGTATGGAATTTACCATGAATGAAGGGAGCCAGTGGAACAGTAGAGTGAAGGAAAAGTAGTGTGCCATGGGATGAATGACGAGTGTGAGAAAACGCTTACGAAGGATGGAGGGTGGAGGCATGCATGACCCTGCCTGTGGCAATCAACCTTGGGAACTAGAGGTAGTTAAATATGGCTCCTACATCTTTTCTTTCATACCCAAACTGACAAGAACAATTTGAAAAACAAAAATTATAAATTAAAATCCCACAGTCATAAAATCCTTCATTATAGAGTATCAAGAGATTCAGCTTATACACACACAGGTTTATTCCACACAAAGCATGTTTCAACATGTCTTTGCTATCAATGTATGGGTATAAATAAGTTCTCTCAGTAAAATACTTTACTTAGTCTCATTCAGGTGCAATTAAAAAAATAGGCATCCATTTTGTGCCATGGATAAAAATGACTGAGGTGCTAAGCGAAGTAAGTCAACCACAAAAGGACGATTACAACATGAGTCCACTGAGGTAAGCTTAAAGAAAAAAACTGAGGCATAGGGAAAAAGCTACTATATATATATATACATACCTGGGGTGAGGTCGAGCAATTATGGCAGGGGTCAAACCCAACCCAGGGATACCTACGACAGCCAACTGTGTAAGAGGGGAAAAGAAAGAGAAAAAAAAAACCATGGGGGGCGGGGGGGGAACAGAGCTCTAATCCACCCAGGGTACTGTTTATATCTCCACAGGAGGAGAGCGAGACCAGGCTTCAACCTGATGCCCATACAACATACCAGCATGTACCAGGGAACCAATAGAGGTCTATAGCGCCAGCCCCAATCCCAACGATGTTGATGCCCCAACCCCCTCAGAAGAATGCAGTTCAGCGGACAGCACTGGGGAGAGGGGCGCGTCAAATTAGAGCACAAGGGAGAAATGCAAAGGGATGAAGAGGGAGAAGAGGATATCCTGGCCCACCAAGTCCCGAAGACGATGTTCCTGCTCAGAGCAGACATCACATGGGGAGGAACTTAGGGCCAGCCCCAAGGGACACGGTGTCCCTCACGGAACCATGGCACCTCGGGGGAGAGCAATGGAGACACAGTGCAGGAATAGTGCAAAGTATGGCCCCATCATGCTGGGGCGAGGCACTGAGGGCATGCAGCAGAGCAGCAGGGGAAGCATACTGATGAAACCCCAGGGGAATACCAAAAATAGGATTTGGAGACAGAGTGTGGCACCCCATCAGACTCAACTGGAAAACACTTGTAAAGGCCAACAGACCGACCTTGAACTATTTATAGGCTTTTCCATTTTTGTCAGTGGTTTTCTTTTTGTTACTTTTATTTTGTTTTTGGTTATTACTTTGTTGGTTTTGACTTCCTTTGTTGTTGTATTTGGCTTTTTGCACTTATTAATGTATCTGCATGTCTATCTAGATAAGATAGATGGGATAAATAATTCGGAGATGAAAAGAACGCGACCAGTGGTTCTGTGGGGATATGGGAGAAGGGGAGGTGGGAGAAAGGAAATGGGAGGGTTTTGTTTTTTTCCAACCCAGGGACAATGGAACAAGTGAACTAAAATCCATGGAAGGAAAGTCATAGGATGACTAGTGGGGCTCAATCAAGGGCAATGTAGCAGCAAGGAATTACTAAACCTGAATGAAGGTCAAACATGATGGTGGGACAAGAGGGAAGTAAAAAAGAAAGAGAGGAAAGAACCAGGAGGCAAAGGACATTTATAGAGGCCTAAATACAGGCATGTACATATGTATATATATAATGAGTGGGGAATAGAATTATGTACTCATATCCATATATTAAGAATTAAAGTTGCAGATGGATAGTGGGCCTCAACTCAAGTACTTCCTTAACACAAGAACACCTTGTTCTAACAATCTGACATTCTGTGATTCTCACCTTCCTGACATGATCGCTGAGACAAAATAGGTACATAAGCAAATGTGGTGAAGAAAGCTGATGGTGCCCGGCTATCAAAAGCGATAGCATCAGGGGTCTTAAAGGCAACCTAGCCCACATGGAAGAAGCACACAAGGCCTGTGTGATCATGAGGTGTTGATGGGATCAGGTATCAAGCATCTAAGACCCAGAATAAAACCATACCCAATGTGAATGAGGGGGGCATGGAGCAGAGACCCAATACCAATCTGTAGACAATTGGACATCCCCTCACAGAGGGGTCACCGGGAAG